TGGGGGCTACTTCCTCCCAAGGAAACCTGTAACCTCCTGCCCCTTCCCTCCGGGGGTCATGGGACCCCAGCGGCACCTGCAGTCCACCTCTCTGACCACCCCTCCCCTGGCACTGGGGCCTGGAGGCTGCACACCAGGCAGGCAGTGGGGAGGATGGGGCGGGGGGGCCAGGGTCAGGGAGGGGCTGGGGGCAGGACCCTGGCTGGGCACTCAGGTGGCTCTAAAGCTTTTGCTGAGGGGTCCCTGGCACTCGGGGGGCAATGCACCTTCAGCCCCGATGGGCTGGAGGCAGTGTGTGGGTGCAGGACATGACAGCCCTCAGAGGTGGGCAGAAGGCCCCTCTCCGGTGTGAGACGCGGGTGTGGGGGGTCGAGGCCTGCCCGGCTGTGATGGGAAGGTTGCGTGTCTGTTTTGGCAGGGCTAACCCATGGAAGGCCCCATTTGGGCTGTGTGCCCCCCGGGTCTCTGCTCCAGCTGAGAGATGGGGCCTGGTCCAGGTGCCGCCTTCTAGAACCTGTTCTGGGCCTCTGGGCCGCCCCTGTCCCGTGTCCTGCCTCATCCCTCTGCTCTGCTCCCTGCACACCAGCAGCCCCACCTGTGTGCTCACCTCCTGGTCCCCTGTGGAGCCCGGCCTCCCTGTGGGCCCTCCCCCTGCAGTGCAGGGTCAGGGATTGGCTTCCTCCAGGGAGTCCTCCCTGGCTGGGCTCCTCTGGCTGGCAGGTGTCTCCAGAGCACCACTCGAGGGTCCCTCATTGGGTGGGTCTTGTGGGGGTTAATTACTTGATGCCTTAGCAGATGGCACCTTCTGAGTCCTGGGCTTCCTGTGACTAGGTGTGAGGGGGCTGGGGCAGGGGGCCATGACTGCCCCACCCCTGGGCCTCTCTCCAGCCCCAGGGGACTGCTGGCCTGGCTGGGAGCCCCCCTGGCCCCGGGACCTGGGAGACACGCAGGCTGCAGACAGGAGGCCAGTGGACAGAGGAGGGGAAGGGACGCTGGGGGAGGGGTCTGCGTTCTGGAGCTGAGGTTGGGTGCTCTATCCCCCGACCCTGTATGAGCCTTGGTCTCACAGGGCCCCGCTCTGGGCCTCCAGGGGTAGACTGCGCCGAGTCACCCTTGCCACATGGAGGAGGCGGGTGGCTTTCCTGAAGGCCACAGGAAGGGGGTGCAGGCTCTCAGCAGAGCCCCCCGCCGGCCGGCTGCCCGCAGGGCACCTGCCCTGGGCCTGGCAAGGAGGCCGCACCGCGCAGCAGCCCCTGAGAGGGTGTCATAGACTTTGGGGGGCAGGTCGTGGTGTCCCTGGGGCTGGCGGGGCTGGGTGGCAGGTGGCCAGAGCCAAGGAAAGCAAAGCCGCGGAGGACCTGGGTCCTGCCTGGGCCCGCACCTGGCCCGGGCCCGTGGGGGAGGGAGGCAGCGGCCGGGCTGGGCAGCCTCAGTCTCTCAGGTGGGGCCCGTGGGCCGGGAGGTGGGTGCGTGGGTGGTTTCTGCGCTCCTGAAGCACGTGGGGAGTAGGGGGTAAGGATGGCCTGGCACTCACCGCACCCCTGTCTCTGTGTCGTCTGTCTGCCATGTCCACGGACCAGTGGAGAGATGTATGAGCACCATGCAGGCGGGGACTCAGATGGTGAAGCTCCGTGGCAGCTCCAAGGGCCTCGTCCGCTTCTACTTCCTGGACGAGCATCGCTCCTGCATCCGCTGGCGGCCCTCACGCAAGAATGAGAAGGCCAAGAGTGAGCGGGGAAGCCCTAGGGGGCATGGGGGCAGGGGGGCCTGAGCAGCTGTGGGGCAGCTCGGGGAGCAGCAAGATCCTGAGCCCTGGAAGTCTCCAGGGGGCTTTGGGCCTGGCATATGGGTGACCTCTGGACGCCAGGAGTGAGGGCTCGGGGCCCCATGCCCTTCAGGGCCCTGGCCTTGTTCCTGCCTGGCAGAGCCCTCGAGGACTCTGGGGCCCGAGTGCCCTTTCCTGTGCTGGATCTGGGATGGGCTGAGGGGCCAAAGGACCGTCAGTCAAGCTGGGGGACAAGACTTCCCAGAAACAGAAAGGGGCCAGGCTTCAGTGCCCGGGGTTAGCTCAGGCAGCCTGGGGCATGGAGGCTGCAGGGCTGCCTGGAGCCGGGAGGGGTCCTGAGCTGGGAGGGTTTGTGCAGGGGGTGGAAGGGCGAGGTTGATCTCTGAGCAGGGCATGGCAGGGACCAGGCTGAGAGGCAGGAAGGGACACATTAGAGTCCTCACGGGCCAGGAGAGACCCAGGGGTGCCAGGAGCGGGCCTTAGCCTAGCAGTTGCCAAGGGCGCTGTCGCTGCCATGGGGCCTGGGAGAGAGCTGGGCTGCGGAGGCCCCTGGAGGAGAGGGCGGGCACTGCCCTCTGGGCCTGGGGAGGTGAAGCCACTGTACCCACTTGGGGTTCCTCTTTGTGCGCGGAACTGTCCCCTGTACTGGGTCCGAACGTGAGGTGGGCAGTCGCTTCACAGTAGGGCAACTTCTTGTCCAGCTGAGCACCGAAGAAGACAGAGAGGATGGAGAGAGAGGGGACAGGCAGATGGGGTCCCAGAGGCCCCTCGGTGGGGGGTAGTAGGGCAGAGACAAGCAGACCAGGATCGGGGTGCGGGGGAGGCCGAATGCGCTGTTTAGAGCTGACTCTGGCCTTGGAGGATCCCCAGGAGGGAGGGATGGGGGCAGCTGTTCCCTCTCAGCCCCCCAGTCTGAGACCCCCCCCGCCCCTGCCAGGCACATGCACGCACCCAGGGAGCTGGAGAAGGGAGGTGGGCAGCCCCCCTCCCCGGGTAGGTGGGCTGCATGCCTGGGAGCTCAGGGGTGGGGGCAGAGGACAGAGGGGTGAGCCCACCCCTCACTGCACAGGTGGGGCAGCTGCACCGTCTTTGCCCTGGATAGGATGACCCCCAGAAGGGCACAGAGCCCGCGGGGCTGAGCAGCAGGGGGTGGGCCGGTGGTAACGGGAGGCGGTGAGAGCTGGGTGGAGGCTGCAGTGCTGGGGGCCCAGCCCCGGGCGCCTGGCTCCCAGAGGGGACGCTGGCTACCTGTGCCCTGCACGCCGGGAGTCCCTGCCACATATGCGGGAACAGACCCTAAAGACACCTTCCTGAGCTCATCGACTGGGCGTAATTCAGGTTTTGAACGGAGGCTCTGTGGCGCTCCGGGCGCTGCATCCAGTAATGAAATCCTTGGTGGAACCTGGGCTGGTGCCCGCGGAGCAGGACCCCGCGGCTCTGCCGGCCCCACCAGAGGCCAGAGCTCACTAGGGAGGCAGCCCAGGATCAGGCCCGCATCAGAGCGGGATGCGAGCTGGCCGGAGCTTGTCTGGGCTCCCTCCTCTGCAGCCCCAGCGGGCTCGGTATGGGGCCACGTGCCTGGGATTGCTAACGAGGGGGAGCCGCCCCCTCCCTCTGGCAGAGTGTGTGAGCCTTTTCACACCCAAAGAAAGTGAGGAGCAGACCTCAGGGTCAGAGCAGAGCAGGGGGGGGTGGGCTCCCCAGCCTGAGCGCGTTTGTGCTTTTGAGGGTCCCTTGAAATACCCCTTCCCCCGCTCTCCCCAGCCTCGGCTCTCCTGTCCCTTTGTGCTGAGCTGCTGCGGCGGGTGGGGTCCCCTGGGGGCCCGGGGCGGGCTGTGACCGGGGCCCCGCCCCCCGCAGTCTCCATCGACTCCATCCAGGAGGTGAGCGAAGGGCGGCAGTCCGAGATCTTCCAGCGCTACCCCGATGGCATTTTCGACCCCAACTGCTGCTTCAGCATCTACCATGGCAGCCACCGAGAGTCGCTGGACCTGGTCTCGCCCAGCGGGGACGAGGCGCGCACCTGGGTCACGGGCCTGCGCTACCTCATGGCGGGCATCAGCGACGAGGACAGCCTGGCCCGCCGCCAGCGCACGAGGGACCAATATCCTTGGTCTTGGGGGGCAGACCTCAGGGGCGAACTATCCACCTGGCGGGTCACACATTTGGGGAAGGGGAGCAGGGAAGGGGTCTCCACTCCTCCCTGTCCGTGGCGGGGGGGTGGGCTGGGTGGGTGCGGCTGGCCCTGCTGGACCCGTGTTGGTCCCTAACTCGGCCCTAAAGTGGCTGAAGCAGACGTTTGACGAGGCCGACAAGAACGGGGACGGGAGCCTGAGCATTGGCGAGGTCCTGCAGCTGCTGCACAAGCTGAATGTGAATCTGCCCCGGCAGAGGGTGAAGCAGATGTTCAAGGTGAGGGGGGAGCAGGTAGCACCCTGAGCACAGGCTGTGGGGCCGCAGGTACATCTGAGGGGGGCAGTCCCGCTGCGGCGGCAGGAAGTCCCGGCAGGGCCTGCAGTAGGTTGGGGGCAGCTCACCCAGCACCCTGCATCGGCACAGGGGTGGTTGCTCAAATGCGGGGCACGGCGGCAACAGCCCCTGGGGGCCCTCCCTGTGCTGGTGGGCTAGGCACTCGGGGCAGGTGTCCGGTCACTGAGGGAAGCCACCCGAAGCAGACTGCACCCCCTTTCCTCATCCTCCCCCGACTGCCCGGCCCCTGGCCCGTCCTGCAGGCAGCCTCCCGGTTCCAGCCAGCCTGGTGTTAGGGGTTATGAAAATGCGTCTGTCAGCGGAGAGGCGGGCTTTATTGTCCGTAATTAGTTTCCTTCCGGAACCCATGCTGGGGCGGTGGGGAGAAAAGGTGGCCCCAGTGGATCCTGCTTTGTGGGGTTGATGGGCAGGCAAACCCAGCTCCTAGGCCGCAGCCTGGAAAGATGACTCTCCCTCGCTCCCTCGCTCTCGCTCTCCTGGGAGCACACACACGCAGCCCACTGCTCCCCCAGGCATGGCCCCGGGGGCTTCACCTGAACTGCCACACAGACAGGTGCTGACACACTGGCTACAGGAGGGGAACCTGCAGCTCAGGGCACAGGGGTCTGTGCGCGAATGAAGGGGCGAGTGGGATGCCCTCGGGCTGCTGGCCAAGGACTGGGGGACTCACAGGGCCCCTGCTGGAGGCCCCCAAGGGGACAGAGCCTGCCTGGGCAGTGAGGAGCACAGACGGCTCAGGCCTGCAGATCAGCCCCCGACCTGTACCCTGCCGACCCTACCTCGGGGACAGCTCTGGGGCAAGAGGCTCTTCCAGAATGGTGAAGCTGGCGGGGGCCAGGCCACAGGCTGGCTTAGACCTCGGGGTCCAGCCTGGCCTCTGAGGTGGGAAGAGAGGAGCATACCCTCAGAGAACAGGGCACGAGTGCACGCAGGCTGCCAGGGCCTGAAGGTCCAGTGCAAAGTCCTGGCATGGAGATGCACCCACGCTGGGAGCCCTGGGGAGCCAGGACACTGGGCCTTTCATCCAGTCTTCGGGCACAGGGGCTCCCCACAGAGCCCTGCGACCCGCCCCTGGCTTGGCTGAGTCCCGGCTCTGACCAGATCTTCTTGAGGCAGCCCAGAGCAGCGGGGAGACCGTGCAGCCTGGGGCCTGCAGGGGGTGGGCTCTGGGCTGGCTCTGGAGGGAAGTGAGCAGCAGGGGTGGGGGGTCGATGCTGGCCTAGAGCTGTGGACCCCAGACCCAAGCAGCCATGTCCACGGTAGACCCCGAGTGCCTGGGCTTCCCCAGCCATCTTCATGTCCACCTTCCCAGAGCTCTGGAGCCCAGGGAAGGAAAGCTGACTCCCCGCCAGGCAGAGCAGCTCTGAACATTAGGGTCAGTTTGGTTGCCGAGAAATCTCAAGATTGTTTCCAGCACCTGGAAGTGCCTGATCAAAGGCGAGATCTGTGGGGGTAAAGAGTGCCTTGAACATAGTTTCGTGAAGTCTGAGATAACAGCGGAGTGCCGGCTGGGCCCAGCGTGGCCCTCGGACGCTCAGCAGAGTGGCTCCAGCCTGAGGGTGCCTTCACGGGCCGCAGTCACTGTCTGCACAAAGCGCGGCCGATGGATTGCTTCGGGAGGCACTTCTGGGGCTGTGCTTTTGGGGCTCATCCTCATAAAATGTTTTCATTCGCCCCGAGGGCTGGCAGCTGGACGGAGACCAGGCAGCCACCCCAGCCTGGACTCCTGGCTGTACCACCCCGCACAGAACTGGGTGGGAGGCCAAATCATCCCGTGGGCTGGACACTCAATGTGATGGGCATCTCCGCCCAGCTCCAGCCACGCCCTGGGGAGGGCTGCCCGCCTGCCCTGTCCTGCCGACTCTCAGACCCAGGGCTGCCTTCAAACCGAGCTCCAGACACACGTGGTCTTTGTCTGGCATCTTCTGGGCCCCAGCACACGTGGCTCTGGTCCTGTCCCAGCCTTGGCACAGATGCTGGGGTCCTGGAGTGAGGCTCGGGGGCCTTGCTGGGTGCCCATCTCGGTGCCAAGCTAGGAGCAGATGGTAGAGATCAGCCTTCCCAGAGCAGTTCTCTCACTGGGTACAGGGACATGGGGGTGTCTGTGGTCCCCTGGTTCCCTGGTGATGTTCCTGGTTCAGAGGGGGCCTCAGGGACCTGGCACCTAGCCCCCAGTCACCCCAGACTGTGTCAGCCCACGAGGAAAGACTATCCAGATGGCGCGCAGAGCAGGGCATATTGCTGTCCATGGTGCTGATCTGATGTCCACTCCTGCTGTGCCGTCAACCTCCAGGCAGGTCCTGCTCACCCCCAACCCACCCCACCAGCCCAGACCACTCGGGGTCTGGAACAGCATCTCCTGTGGGGCCTTTCTGGCCCATTCCCAGGGATCGCCACGGCCCCAGGGCACCTCAGGCTCCTCTGGGCAACCCGGCCTGCAGTTGCTGGGTCCCTTGTCCTCTGGGTCTGTCCCTGGCCTTGGTGTTTGGGGTTCCCAGGGTCTGACACTTCAGTAGATGCTCCCTGAGTGGTGGGTTCATGAAGGAGTCTGTGGTCTCACTGGGGTCCCAGCGGGTTCTTGCTGATGTTGTGTGAGCTGCCCTGTGTGCAAGAGAAAGACAGTGGCCAGGTCCTCTCCCTCTCTGTTGTGGAGACTGAAGCCAGGGCACCCTGTACCCTGGGGTCTTGAGCTAACCAGTGGGCAGCCAAGTGTAATTACAGGCTCACAGCCCAGGCTGGGCATTAACTCCAAAGTGGGGTGTTTTCTCCCACAGTGAGGTGTTGACCCCCAAGGTGAGGTGTTGGCTCTAATGTGGGGTGTTGACTCCAGGATGGAGTATTGGCCCCCAGATGGGGTGTTGGTTCCCAGGGTAGGGTGTTGGTTCCAAGGTTGGGGTATTGATTCAGATGGGGCATTGACCCCCAGTGTGGAGTTTTGATTCCAGTGTGGGGTGTTGGTTCTCAGTGTGGGGTGACTGTGCCAGGTTTAGGTGTAAGTTGACCTTGAAAGGCTGGGACTAGGGTAGGGGAGGTTGAGATCTGTGTTAAAGGGTCACTCAGTGGCTTCTTGGTGGGAGAGTCAGAGGGGAAGCCCAGCGAATTCACTGGGGAAATCATCCCAGGGAGCTATCAGGGTGGGACACTAGGGGTCACAGAGGTTTTGGCTTGCAGGAAGCAGACACAGATGACCACCAGGGGACGCTGGGCTTTGAGGAGTTCTGTGCCTTCTATAAGATGATGTCCACCCGCCGGGACCTCTACCTGCTCATGCTGACCTACAGCGACCACAAGGACCACCTGGATGCCGCTGACCTGCAGCGCTTCCTGGAGGTGGAGCAGAAGGTGAGGGCATGGGCAGTAGGAGCAGGGTCCTAGCCTAGGTGAGGCCACCTCGGGCTCCCAGGGCCCTTGAACTGGTTCAGTGTGGCTGAGAACCCTTCAATGTGGAAGGATGGGCCACAGCCGGGACCTGCTTTTGTTCCCATCATGGGCCATGCCAATGTATTTCGGGGTGTGTCCCATGGAGGCCCTGAGCAGGTGGGGAAGTTCTGTGGTTTCTCCTCTGTGGGCCTCTGAGCGGCTCAGCCCTGACCACAGACACCTCGCGCTTCCTGAAGGGAGCCTGCACTTGACCACAACACCTTTAGTGTGGAGCACCTCACAGAATGGGGGTGCCACGTCCCAGACTTCCCACCTGTTCCCGCCACGGGTCTGGCCAGCTCGTACCCCTGAGCTCCAGGCCCACTGCCACCGCCATTCGCCCATTTGTCCAGCAGATGCCCATATGCCCCTGGGTGCCAGAGGGGCATGCCTACCCATTTCTCTTGACTCTAGTCCCTCCTGTTTATCCTAAGAGACTGAGTGCTCCCTGGGCTTTGCCCTGCAGACTGGGGGCCCAGGGTCCAGAGGCTCAGGGATTTGGCCCCTTCAACCTCAGCCCGGGCAAGGGCTGGGTGTTGCTTTCTGTGCTGGGTAGGAGGCTGGAAATCTGTAGCAGGAGAGGGGAAGGGCCAGTGTCCCCTGAGGAAAGAGCGCTCCTGTGATGAGGTCCAGGCAGCATGTGACTCCTACCCTTAGGGCTGGTGGGAGGCAACCATGAGGACCAGCTTCCGGACTTGTAACTTCCTGGAACCCTCAGGGACCCAGGTTTGGGCAGAGAGTGGGAGGGGCGGTCAGCCTTGAAGCTGGGTGGCTGGGTCAGCAGGAGCAGCTGAGAGACCCAGGCTGGGTCTACGTGGCATTTGCCCATGGGCTCCCATCACTGCTGTTCTGGGTTGGCACCCTGCCCCACTCTGCCCTACGAGGCTGCCTCAAGCCCAGGGCATGACAGAGGGCTGCCCCTGGGCTGTTCTCCCAGAACCCCTTCCCCACTCACACAGTTGGCTGGGGTTCTGTCCTCGTGGCAGTCCTGCTGGTGGGAGCACTGCGATCCAGACGGGAGAGGCTGCCTCCAGCCTGGCGGGATCCTGGGATGTCCAGGGCGACTCACTCCCAGCCCAGCTACTGTGGGCAGCGTTGGAGTGAGGCTGTGGGTTCTCTGTTGCGGTTGCTGGTGTACATGGGGGTGGAGGGTGGGAAAGTGGTCCTGTCTGGGATGGGCAGTACCGACTCATTATTCCCTGCCCTTTGCCCTAAGCTTTCCAGAACTCTCCCTATATCTGGGGCTAAAACTGTCCACCAGGTGGGTGGTTTGAGCGCTGACCCAGGCCCTTGGACTCTGGACCTCCTGAAGTCCACACCTGCTCTGAGCTCTGACCCCATTTGCCCCCCTTTCCCCTCTATCACTGGTTACACATACCGCCCCCCCCACCCCCGCCCTCGGGACTTGCTAGAAGCCCTGCTGGTGGGCCTGCATCTGGGAACTGGGGGTTCCTGGCCTGAGCTGCACCACAGGGCCCTGGAAGATCACTCAGCCTCTTGTGCTTGGGGCCATTGATGCGCAGGGCCGCCTTGGACTCAGCTTTGTTGTGCAGCTTTCCTGTGATAGATGTGGGGAGGCAGCAGGGGAAGGCAGGGAGAGGAGGTCCCCGGGTTCCTCCAAGGTGGGACTGGGTCCTGGTTCTCCTGCACCCCTGCACACACAGGACTCCCTGCCAGGACTGCCCTGGCCCATAGCTCTTGAGACCCCTAACAGAGTGGGGATGAGGGACGGCCCAGCTGATGGAACCCAAGACCCCTCCCCTGCTTCAAGGATCCGCAGTCGGTGACAGGTCTTCCAAAGCCATGTGATCCACCAGTAGTCTTCTGGCCACCGAGCCTGAGTCTTGTGACACTGGGGGTGGCCAGAGTGTCCCCCAGTCTGGGAAGCACACTGCAGGGGTCTGAGCCTCCCCCGGCCATGGTTAGTCTTGACGTGACCATCAGAGGCTGGGTGGGAGGCAGTGGTGGTGGTGGAGGAGGGCCTGCCGCCTGAGGCTAGCCCAGGCCAGTGACGGGCTAGCCTGGGCTTAAGCCCCTGCTCTGGCCTAGATGGCGGGTGTGACCCTTGAGAGCTGCCGGGACATCATCAAGCAGTTTGAGCCCTGCCCAGAAAACAAGAGTAAGGGGGTGCTGGGCATTGATGGTGAGTGAGGGCGTCGCTGCGGTGCAGCTGTCCTGGCAGGCCGATGGGGGGTGCTGGCGGGCAACCCGTGGGCCTGGACAGGTGGCCTGAGCGGGCAGCTTCCTGCTCCACACGGCGCGGAGATGGGTGGTGCTGAGATGAGCCTTGTGGTGGGGCCTAAGCACCCACCGCACTCCCCACGCAGGTTTCACCAACTATACTCGGAGTCCTGCCGGCGACATCTTCAACCCGGAGCACCATGGTGTGCACCAGGACATGACCCGGCCGCTGAGCCACTATTTTATCACCTCGTCCCACAACACCTACCTCGTGGGCGACCAGCTCATGTCCCAGTCTCGGGCGGACATGTACGCCTGGGTCCTGCAGGCCGGCTGCCGTTGCGTGGAGGGTACGTGGTGGGGGCTCTAGGACACATCCCAGCAGCCTTGGGGCCCCGGGCCTGAGCTGCGGACGGGCGGCTCCTCTCAGGGACACCGCTGTGGCGTCTCTGAGCAGGGTGTCTGCTCTCCTCCCAGGCAGGGGCTGTGACAGGCTCCTCCTGCTGTTAGTTGCCGGGCGGGAGGACCCCTTCGGCCAGTCCACGAGCTGCGGTGGGGTCTCTGGGCATGGGCAGCCAGGCTCTTGTGGCTGACTGGGGTCTGCCTGCCCACAGTGGACTGCTGGGACGGGCCTGACGGGGAGCCCATCGTGCACCATGGCTATACTCTGACCTCCAAGATCCTCTTCAAAGATGTCATCGAAACCATCAACAAATACGCCTTTGTCAAGAATGAGTGAGTGGCTGGGACTGGGGAGGGGCTCAAACGGCTCTTCCTGCCCCTCCCCCACATCCTTTTCCGGGCCGAGGGGCTGATTTTGGGGTCTCTTGTCGAGGCTGAGGGTCGGGGAAGGGAGTGGAGCCGCAGGCCTGGGGAGAGGGAAGGCGGTGGGTGCAGGAGCTGATAGCGGCTGAGCTGTGGCTGGTGGGGTACCTGTGCCAACAGCCCCTGCCCACACACACTCGGCAGCCCCTGGTGCCAGCCGCCTGCAACAGTGGTAGCTCTGGTACTAATTACCCCCCAGAAGCTACTCGATGTCCAAACTCAATTTGCTGCCACTCAGCTGTAGCTACAGACACTGGTGAGCAAAATCCAATTTAGTTTCTGGAAATAGAAGACTGCCTCCCCACACTTACAGTCACCTTCAAGTCTTGGCGGAACAAGGCTCACAGGCAAGGAAAGAACTAATTTAATGAGGGAGGGGAGGAGACGCAAGATTGATTTCGGAAATAGAGAATAGGGGGGCCCCTCCCGGAAGAGCTTGCCGAAGCTCTGTCTTGGGCTGCCAGAAGGGAGTGGGAGTGAGGATTGGCAGCCTGGGCCCCAGAATTGCAGGTGAGAGAGGCATCTCAGGGCAGGGGAGCTGGGACAGACAGGTGTCTGTAGCTGCAGAAGACCCAGGGACCTGCTAATGTCTCAGCACAGGGCTCGCACCTTATGTGTGCCAGCATAATCTTTGCAGGCATAAGGCTCTTCCCTAGGGCCTTGGGCTTTAGACTTCAGTCTCTTGCCTGAGAAATGGGGAGGTGAATACTTTTGCCCCAAGTCCTGTCTGCCCTTTCCACATCACGGGACTTGCCCATCTCTTGCTCTGATTCATGCCCTCTAGGTCTGGGTCACCTACGTTTTCTAAAAAGATCATGTTACCTTTGGGCAAAAATCCAAGTAAAATGTGCACTTGGTTAAAAAACAAATCAAACGACTGAAGAGCATATAATGAAAATCCCTATGTTATACTCCCCATTCTGCGCTACATAGGTAATAACAATGTTCTACCAGATGGTATGTGCCCAGCTTATGTCTCCTTTCTTATGGGGCCAATGTTGGGACCCCAGAGCCATTCACAGGACAGTGTCTCCAGTATCTAGGTCAGTGAGATTATCTTTCTCAGTCTATTCATTGCTTCACGTTGCACCTCAGTTGAGTCCACATCAGTTTTAAACCATAACTTGATGACTTGCTCCAATATTTCCTCTTGTTTTCCTGGAGTTTCTAATTGCCTTTGTTTTTTCTTATTGGGATATGGACTGCATGCCTTCTTTATCTGTCCCTAAAATCTCCCAGCTCCTTTCCCACCCACTCAGTGGCTTTTCAAAGCCCTTGATGGACCCCCTCCCAGAGTGGCTGGCAGTTCCATCTATCCTGGTTATTGGTAAAGATCTCTTTTCATTCACTGGTGCAGGTGACTTGAGGTTTTACACAGGTGGGGTCTTGCCCTCCCCTGGCTTCACTCTGCTCCTTCCACCTTGGGGCCACAGGTACCCAGTGATCCTGTCCATTGAGAACCACTGCAGTGTCATCCAGCAGAAAAAGATGGCCCAGTATCTGACTGATATCCTCGGGGATAAGCTGGACTTGTCATCAGTAAGCAGTGAGGATGCCACCATGCTTCCCTCTCCGCAGATGCTCAAGGGCAAGATTCTGGTGAAGGTGAGCACCTGCCTGACCCTCCTAGGGCCAGCATCCTGCTGGGCCTCTGACCTCTGATCTGTGGCCAGGTGAGGGGCAATTGCCCTGCTCTAGATAATATGGGGCTCCACACCATCTGTGGCAGATTTGAGGAGTCAGGGTAGGCCCTAGCCCTGACCTGCCCTCAGTCTCCCTCCATAGTGGCCACTCAATCTAGGGACCTCTGTGTGCACAACCCAGCATTTCCCTCCCATGCTGCTGCAGCAAGGAAGTGCTGGGCTGGCCTCTGCCCCATGGCCTGAGGTCCACAAGCAAGCTTGAGAAAGGCTCCTTCCCTTTGCTGCTTCCTGTATGGGTACTGCCCTCGCGGTACTTCCTGCAGGACCCCTCCCATGGCCCACTGCCTCCCCCCAGGGCAAGAAGCTTCCTGCCAACATCAGTGAGGATGCCGAGGAGGGCGAGGTGTCTGATGAAGACAGCGCGGACGAGATCGATGAGGACTGCAAACTTCTCAACGGGGATGTGAGTAGGGGCTGGGAGGCCCTCTTCGGGGAGGGGGGGGCTGTGGCCCTGAACAGCAGGCTCATAGCCTTGCTGTGAGAAGGCAGGTGGCTGAGAGAGGGATATTGGGCAGATGCGAGGGTGCTTTGCCCAGTGGCTACACAGCTGGGCATGTGCTCAGCCAGTGGGGGCCCTTCCCTACCTGCCCCTTCACACAAGACTTGGCCCCTGAGCTCCCAGCTAGCGGGCTTCCACCTTTTCACCCAGAGGCTCTGGGTCTGGGGGGTCACACAGGGAGGCTGAGGAGTGAAAAAGGGCTTGGCATAGCAGGGCTGGGGGAGCTCTGTAATTAGCTTCTTCTCTCCTCTGGGCACTGTTCTAAGCCGCTGCTGTGAGGTAGGAAGGCATTCTTTCTCCTGGAGGGGCCCTCAGATGGGAAAATAATTGTGCAGGAGCATTCCCAGCCACGTTAGCTAATTGTTTTAGAAAGCCCTGAAGCAGCAGAATTCTTTCTGCTTTGGATGTGCCTGCATATTCCTCTGGTCCCAGGTGACCGTAAACCCATGTTGTCTGATGCCTAACTGGCATGACTCCAACCGGGGCCCGGGGCACCGGATGCCCATGGCCCAGGCCCTGCCCCAGAGGGGTCCCCGTGTGTCAGGGCTACAAGGGGGCGCTGCTCCAGGCAGAGAGAACTGCCCAGCCCCCGGTTGCTGGCCAGCCAGGCCCTCCGTCCCCACCCCTGCCCATCTCCTTGAGGTGTCTGGTAGCCAGTGGAGGGATCCCAGATCCCCAGCTGCTTAGGGCTCCTGGAGTCCAGAGTGGCCACCGGGTACCCTGACCCCCTCCCCCAAGGCCCACTGGCTGGATGCGTGGCAAGCCGTCTGCTGAGTTTCTGTGGGCAGCATTGTGCAGTTAAAGGATGCAGGTGTTAAAATCAGAGAGGCCTTGGTTCAGGGCCTGCTGGTCACTGTCTGGGGCTCTGGGGCAAATCACAGGCCTGCTGTCTGGCCCTGTGGTGGGGTGGTGTGAGGATAAAGCAACGCCATGTAGGAGTGAGTGTGCGGCTGGGGCCGGGGGTGAGAAGCCAAGATGGGGTTCTGGCTCCCCAGCTCCAGCAGGCCCCTCCAGCAGGGACCTTGGGGGCCGTCACCGCTGCTGCCACAGGGCTGGGGACTGATGGCACGGGGTGGCCGTCCGGCTCTGGCAGGTCGCCACCAATCGGAAGCGTGTGGAAAACATCGCCAAGAAGAAGCTGGATTCCCTAATGAAGGAGTCGAAGATTCGGGACTGTGAGGACCCAAATGACTTCACCGTGTCCACACTGCCCTCATCTGGAAAGCTTGGGCACAAGGCAGAGGGCAAAAAGGTGAGAGCCCTGCAGCCCATGAGGTCAGCCTGCGGCTGAGGGAAGGGCCTGGAACATCTGGTCTGTGCACACCTGTTCATACATACACCCCCCACCTCACCACCAAACCCGTCCCCGGATTTCTGGGTGGGGAGGACACAGAGCACATTTAGCTCTGGTATGTGAGCAGGTGGGCAACATGTCCAGTATGGTGGACACGATGTGAAGTCCCTGCTTTCCCTTGACCAAGCAATATCTGGGCATGCACCCAGGAACTTGGGGACACACAGGATGGCCGCTTGGACCTGGGAAACATGTCTGTGTGATTTTTTGCGTGAGGAGGAGCAGGTACTCAGGGAAGGCTTCCTGGAGGAGGAGGAGGAGGAAGAGTAGGAGAAGCAGTAGCAGCTCAGTCTGAGCCACCAGGCATGGAGCTTGGAGGGGGCGTCAGGGAAGGCACCTTGCAGCACTAGGCCATCCCTGCTGGGACATGGGTAGGGGGACAATGGGGGTGCGGGGCACAGAGCTCTATGAAGGGGGGCTAGGCAGAGGGGGGAGCATCTGGGCAGTGGGGTCATGCACATGCACCCAACATGCCTCTCTGTCCCCTTGGCTGGGGGCCCGAGGCCGTGGTCCCCCACCCCCCAGGAGGTCCCTGTGTGGGAGAGGGCAGGTGGCTCAGAGTGCAGTCAGACGGGCAAGGAGGGGACCCTTGTCTGCAGTGCTGGGCACACTCTAGTGGTGCTGGTGCTGGCCAAGGACAGGCCTGATTCTCTGGGAGGAACCCAGCACCCCCCTCCCCGACATCCGGAGGGGCCAGGACGGGACCTGCTTGAACAGAAGGGGCCGACCGGGCCGTGCCCTGCCCCCTGTACTCTGTCCAGGGCATGGGTGCTCCGCAGCCTGCCGTCCTGCCTGCCCCACCCCGCCCTTCAGAGCTCTCTAGGGTCACCAGGCTGTGGGGGGTGGGCAGGAGTGGCCCAGTGCAGCCCTCCGCTGCCCACAGCCTCCCTAAGGGTGGTCGGAGCTCGGGCCTGGGCTGTAACCCCTGCCAAGCTCGGGCGTGTGGGTGTTGGGGGGGGCGGCAGCGGATTCTGGCTGAGGCTGCCGCTGCTTCTTTAGGGCGCGCGGCGTTTTGGGCGGTGTTTACAGAGCTGCGAAGTGTGTTGGCCTCGACTGGCTCCAGACACACCACGCACACGGCTCCCAGGGCCTCCGCCAGTGTGCCGTGGAACCATCAATAAATTAGGAGGGAGACGGGCGGTTGTTGCTGCGCTGGGGAAGAGGAAGAGAAACCCTTTTGAGAGCAGCTGGACCGTAGCTGATGCTGAGCACCTCTGTTGCTGCCGACCTGGGCCTCGGGCTTCGGGCTGGCTCCTTCTGTGCTGACTAGCAGGGCGTGAGCAGAGCGGCCCCAGGGCGGACACCGGAGCTGCAGAGCTGACCATCATGTGTTCCCCCGTCGGGCACAGTGGGGCCCGGCTTGAGCTCCAGGGTCCAGGCTGCGAGGCCAGTGGTCCAGG